TATATATATAGTATATATATATATATATATATATATATATATATATATATATATATATATATATATATATATCTCAGGGAATTATATCAAGATCCCGAAACGACGAAACATATATTCTATGTATTTCTTTTTTTCAATAAAGGTAAAGATAGATAAAAATGCATTGGCTTCACAGAAGTTGTTTATTTCACAATAACTGCGGATTTTATTTCTTTCCGAGCAGCTATTTTCAAAGTATATCGCCACCCGCGATTTCTAAAACGGAATCGCGAGCGCGTATTTTGTACATTTTTACATTCCGTCAACTTCCATATATGCATACATAAGAAGTGCAACAAGAGAAAAATAAAATAGTGAATGACTTTGATGTTGGACATATGTACATACATACATATATATTTATAGATATATGTGTACTGTAAAACATTTCATATATACATATATTACATATACAATATAATAGATACATACATGTATGCATACACATCTATTATGTTTTAATCTATTATGTTTATATTGTATATGTATGTACATATGTATATATATATATATATATATAGTATATATATTAATTTTAATGGACAGATTAATAAAATACATATACTATTAACAAAGTAAAATCGAAGTAAGAATTACATTTATCACATAACTAACGTATAATATTACAATAGACATTGTGTTTAAATCCCCGCTACACAACGTTATGTCGTGTCACTACTACTTAAACCGTTCTTTTGGTCTAACTTATTCGCGTTTGTCTTAACTGTATATATGAAAAAGCTGAGAGCTTCCTTCTCCACGACTGGGATGGTCTTGAAATGCTTCATGACAGTCTACAAGAAAAATTTCATATAAATGTAAATTTCACCATCGTGAAAATGTCAATAACATTAAGCGCATACATTTGAAAATTATTAAAAAAAAAGTAATAACAGTGAAGATATAACAAAAAATGAGACGATAAATACACATTGAAAATTAAAATTAAAATAAAAAGTTATTCATTTTAATATTAATTTTTATTAATATAATTATAATTCAAAAGCATTTGAATTTTAAAACAAGGTGAAATCATGGACAGGTCGAATTCAGATTAGGATTAGGTTAAATAGAAGGGAAAGTTCATTGGAGTGGGTAGTACAGAGGGCGGTGCTTCTCCCACTCCACTCTGAACTTCCCACGCTTGTGATTCTTATATATTATTGTCCGTTAATAATATGAATAATTATCATATCATATTTTTTAGTGTATTTTCACTGTACATTTCATTATTTTTTTCCTAAATTATTTTGAAAGTAATAACAAACTTTGCATTACATTTAAAGCAAATATATATTTACTCATAAGAGTAAACATATATTTACTTTTTTTAGCATAAATTATAATTTTATTATAATAATCATTATTGGAGAAAGATACGGAGAGATGAACTAATTTTATTTATCTACCATTTATAATATCTTAAAATCTATAGATATGTATAGAGTTGTCATACATTCTATTTTTACAAATAATTCATACAATAATTAATATTTACATATATATTAATATGTAAAATAATGTTTATTTATATATGGTACATAAAGCAATTCTTATTCTAGTACATTTTATATTTACCGCGCATGCGAGATAAGAGAATAATGTCACAGTACTTACTTCCGCCAACTGAGACTTGTTGAGACCCGGCCGTGTGGAAATCTTGTAGTGCCTTTTGTACCGTCTCAAAGTGCCAACTTGTAACTGGTAGAGATCGACTTCAGGGATGTCATTGTCAGTTTCACCCGAGTCTTCTTCGGAGTCTTTACGTCTACGTTGCTGCTGCTGCTTGGTTCTCGCACACTGGATCACTTGTTTATGGTAATCACAGATGTATATATGTCGTGCCTACATAATATACAAGGAAAAAATGTAATAGAAAATGTAACAACAATCATTATGTGCAAAAATATATATATAATAGTGTTGGCATGAGATAGTTTACAGAAAATACTTCACTTGAACAATGTCTCAATTTTATTAAATGTCCATTCATTAAAAATTTCAGAATCAAAATCACCGACAAGATACTATTAAAGACCAACAATCTTATAAGAATTCGCATTCGGATGTGTAAAATTTAAATAATTATTAATTTATGATGATTATTAATTTATGATTATGATTTATTATTATTCTATTTATTATTATATTTCTTAAATATGTACATATATTTACAACTTGATGATATTTAATTTTATTTAAAATTGCATTATAATTATTATCTATGTTTACCTAGAAAAATAATTTTAATTTTGATATAGCATTATAAGTATGCATATTTATTTATAAAATATTTATATAATAAAAAATGAATTGAATAATCACAAATTTGTATCAATAGTCGATAATATCTATATTTTTCAATTATTTCTGGGACACGAAATTTATTCAGAATTGAAAGTCTTTAATAGTTCGGTTGCAAAACGAATAAAGTAATACGTGGTAGTTGACGATCTTTCTTATAAAAATATTCGATTTTGTAAAAGGATTTTTAAAAAGTTCTTAAAAGTTTCAATCATTACTTGATACGCTTTTCCTTTCAATTTCAAGTGTTTTTGATAAGAACGCAATGAGATATAAAATTAGATTATATCATAATAAACATTCCTTTGTTTAAATATTTGTTATCTCTTAATATCTTTCTACCGGTATTGAACATAGTTTTATAACTGAAATAATCGCGTGTTGTAGCCGATGGTAATCGCGGATAACAAACCAGTTGTTAGTGATCTTTGTGGTGGCAAACGCGTCGAATAATAAAAATTCGTTTCTTTTTTTTAATTTTGCGATCTCGATAAACAACGATTCGAAAGACAGAAATACAGTCGGCGGTGCTCTGAATTTTCGAGAGAGAATTGACGTAGCGGAGCGATACTCGCGTGCACGCGACCGCCTCGCTGTGTTAAACTCACCATGTGATCGAGATTCAGCTTGAGCCGTCGTTGAGTGACGGTTTTCTGGATGCGTTTGCTGTAGGACGCGTTGCCGGCCGGGCGGGAACATCGCTCGCCCTCGTCGATGAGACAGCAGATCTGGTCCGCCGCACCCCGCGAGTCCTCCTCGCCGGTACTGAAGCCGTTCATTCTAGTCCGATTGGGAACAACACTCCACGAGATCGCGGATCGTCCGGCTGCGAGTCCACTGACGTCGTCCACGCCGACGACGACGACGGCGTCGGCGAGGGTGACAATGACTATGACGACGACGACGACGACGACGACGACGATGAAGATTCGCACGGTCCGAGCACTCGTGTCAAAAATCCTCACTGGAGCAGTCGACGGCCGCGGGACGACGACGATGGTGGCGATCGCACGCTGAGCGACGTCGCTCGTTCATAATTCTCCTCCGCGCACGAGGCTAGCCCGCCGTGCCGTGCGACTTCTCCTGCGTTCCCTTACTTGTTCCTTCAGCGAATCCGTCTGTCTGCGTGCGTCCTTTCGATCGGGACGATGCGTATAGTGATCTCGTGCCGGGACAACTCGAGCCGGAGCCGAGCCGGAATTGAATCGAGTCGGATCAAGCCAAGCCCCAAGCCTTGCCAAGCCGACCGCGCCACGCCGCGCCGCGCCGCGCCGCGCCGCGTCGCGACGCGTCGTGCCGTGCCGTGTCGCGTCGCCGGGTCGCGATCGGTCGGCGACGTGCCCGTACAGCTGAGGAGCCGGTCGCCGCTGGGAATGCGGGAAGAACGGATACCCTCGAAGGTCTCACGGTCTCACGCACCACAGAAAACTCGCGACTCACCGGCAATCCTCTGTCGGATAATCCCGATCGACGCCTCGTCGTTAAACGCGAGATAAGGTACGCCGTTCCCTGACACCGCGGACACGCACGCAATTATCCACCACTGCCGGAACTCCAACGGATTTCTCGTTCGTGATGAGATGAACGATATTGCACGACGCCAACGTCAACGAGGACAATGACAGATCGAGCGATACATCCAAACGCATTCGCTATCTGTCTTCGACTGCGCATCTGTAAAATGTTTGTCCACGATACATGCAAAGCAGAGTACGCGGCTACGCGGTTCCAGGGGCCGCTCTTTCTCGATGCCCATGCGTGGTACAAAAGGCCTATTATACCGACCAACCTTTCTCGATAGAGAGAGGGAGAGAGAGAGAGAGAGAGAGAGAAAGAAGAGAGAGTGAGTGAGTGAGTGAGTGAGTGAGGCAGAGGCGTTCCTATTTGTTTAGCTGCCAATTGAATACGTTCACTCACGTTGGCCGATCCCTAGAAAATTTTCAGTGGACGATGTATCAATACGTTTGCTCTAATTTGTTCTATTTTACTGATATTTATTTACATATACATATAAATGTAATGCCTCTTTTTATATTAGGCACCTAAATTTATTTATAATAATTTAATGTTATTCTTTCATTTATTACATATCTAGCCCTTATCTTTATTTACATATGCATGACTTGCAGAATTTTTTTATAAAATAAATATTTCTTATAACTTGACAGTTCTGGACGCTACGTTGCATTACAAATCGATGAGATAACCTGTAATTTCTTAATTTTTTCTATATTTATACAAACATTCTATATTTATAATACGGATTATATATTAGCATATAAATTTTAATTGTGTAAAAGTATTTATTATTTTGCATAACTTAATATAAGATTTAAGTTTTACGTCCACGATGAAATCGGAAAATTTCGAAAAAAAAATTGACCAATGGCATTTGAATAATTCGGCCAATGCAATTGATCAATTCTCTTTTCGAAATTTCGAGGTCTCGGGCCGATTTCTAGCATCGTGAACATAAGGCTTTAATAAAAACTTACATTTTGTCGGTAAAAAAGACATGTCGGGAATCGCCTTAACTGTCGTATAAAAATGCTATCGCACATGCGCAGAAATGAGTCATATATATCTTTCTTTTTTTATAACTTGGATTTTTGAGCCATCTGAAATAAAGATACATATTCCATTTATACTCTAAATTGGTAACATGCCATTTAAAAAAGAAAAAGCATTAGTTCGACTCGAAAGGAAATATTAGGAACAGAAATAAATATTAAATTTTGGAAATGAAAATTCGGAATAAAGACTAAATGTAACGCACATGTTTAATATTTCTTTTAATTTTTCTAATTTTATTTCTAAAATTTAATATTTATTCTTGTCCCTAATATTTCCCCCATTGTGCGCAGTCTAACTTTGGGCATTAACAAAAATGACCGGTCTTAGCTCATCAACTTCCGATACAAGTATATCTAGCTATTCGTGTGTCATGACTCTGGATCGACTACGTTCGATGGTGTGACATCCATGTGCACATTTCGAGTGAACGAATACAGTGACGCCATTTTGATTGCTCAAGTAGAAATCATCGCGAAAATTAATGATTATTTATTTGTTGCGATTCTGTATTTCATGTCTTACTTTGGAACATATTGGAAAACAATAGCTAAAAAATCTTACATTATAATATATATATATATATATAT